ACTACCTGACACCACCCCACCATCCCAGCATTCCTAATTCATATGTGTCAAGTCTTTCTCTGCTACAGGCAGCTGTCTTTGTGAATTGTGTTATGATATTTTAATTACTATATCTTGTAGCTGCCAAGCAATCATGACACCCAGTAGCCATACCAGTGTTGCTGAAAGTGGCACAAAGAGGTATAAGCACTTAAGTCTTAGAATTAACAAAGATTTTAGACAAGAGATAACCTGTAGCCATAATTGAAGTGTTACTTTGTACACAGAAAAGGAGGTTAACATGAGTTTGTGTAACTGACTTACTGAATGACTTGACTGACTTACTGAATGACTTGACTGACTTACTGAATGACTTGACTGACTTACTGAATGACTTGACTGACTTACTGAATGACTTGACTGACTTACTGAATGACTTGACTGACTTACTGAATGACTTGACTGACTTACTGAATGACTTGACTGACTTACTGAATGACTTGACTGACTTACTGAATGACTTGACTGACTTACTGAATGACTTGACTGACTTACTGAATGACTTGACTGACTTACTGAATGACTTGACTGACTTACTGAATGACTTGACTGACTTACTGAGTGACTTGACTGACTTACTGAGTGACTTGACTGACTTACTGAGTGACTTGACTGACTTACTGAGTGACTTGACTGACTTACTGAATGACTTGACTGACTTACTGAATGACTTGACTGACTTACTGAATGACTTGACTTACTGAATGACTTGACTGACTTACTGAATGACTTGACTGACTTACTGAGTGACTTGACTGACTTACTGAGTGACTTGACTGACTTACTGAGTGACTTGACTGACTTACTGAGTGACTTGACTGACTTACAGAGTGACTTGACTGACTTACTGAGTGACTTGACTGACTTACTGAGTGACTTGACTGACTTACTGAGTGACTTGACTGACTTACTGAGTGACTTGACTGACTTACTGAGTGACTTGACTGACTTACTGAGTGACTTGACTGACTTACTGAGTGACTTGACTGACTTACTGAGTGACTTGACTGACTTACTGAGTGACTTGACTGACTTACTGAGTGACTTGACTGACTTACTGAGTGACTTGACTGACTTACTGAGTGACTTAAATTAATAATAATAACACTAATAATAACTTATTATTCTTATTATTATTATTATTATTATTATTATTATTATTATTATAACGAATGCTGGCAGCTGAGTGCACTGTTTACCTCCCTGTGGGAGCAGTTCTTTCCTGCTTTGCTTACATTTTTAAGTCATTTGGCCAAATTTCGTTTTTCTAAGCATGGGTCCTAAGAAAGTAAGTGTAAAGGACAGTGCTGAGAAGAGAATGATTTCCATGGAATTAAAGCATGAAGTCATAGATAAACAAGCGAGGCATCCAGGTTTTGGGTTGAGGGGGAAGAGGGAGGGGGGAACTGGCTTGTAACTCGAATGTTGGCTCGTAACTCAGAGCAAAAAATCGACCCAGGGACGGCTCGTTTCTCAAAAAACTTGTAAGTTGAGACACTCGTAAGTCAAGGTTCCACTGTCTTGAGAAAATGTGTAGCCTATGTCTGATGACTTGTTTGTAGGTACAAGAAAAGTTAAGCTGTTGCTTGTTGAAATGGTTTGGGTATTTATAGAGATGGACCAGAACCCAATGACCAAGAGAGTGCAGTATAGAATTCCAGGGTGGAAGGAAGCAAGCAAGGGTTAGGAAGGCATTCTATAAGAACATAAGAAAGGAGGAACACTGCAACAGGCCTGTTGGCCCATACTAGGCAGGTCCTTTACAATCCATCCTGCTAACAAAACATTTGCCCAACCCAATTTTCAATGCTACCCAAGAAATAAGGTCTGATAACTCTATCCACTAATATATGCAAGTCCCGCTCAAATCCAACTCCTCTCGCTCATGTATTTACCCAACTAGGTAGACTGTTCCACTCATCAACTACCCTATTTCCAAACCTATACTTTCCTATATCCTTCCTAAATCTAAACTTGTCCAATTTGAATCCATTATTGCGGGTTCTCTCTTGGAGAAATATCCTCAAGACCTTATTTATATCCCCTTTGTTAATACCTATCTTCCACTTGTACACTTCGATCATGTCTCCCCTCATTACAAGTGAATGTAGTTTAAGAGTCTTCAATCGTTCTTCGTACGGAAGATTTCTAATGCTGTGTATTAATTTAGTCATTCTTTGCTGAATGTTTTCTAACAAATTTATATCCATTCTGTAATATGGAGACCAGAACTGAGCTGTGTAATCTAGGTGAGGCCTTACTAATGATGTATAAAGCTGCAGTATAACCTCTGGACTTCTGTTGCTTACACTTCTTGATATAAATCCCAATAATCTATTTGCCTTATTACGTACGCTTAGGCATTGCTGTCTTGATTTAAGGTTGCTGCTTGCCATAACCCCCCAAGTCCTTTTCGCAATCTGTACAGCTAAGTTCTACATTATGTAACTTATAAGTGCTAGGGTTATGGACACTCCCGAGCTTCAGAACCTTGCCTTTATCTACATTGAACTGCATCTGCCATTTTTCTGACCAAGAATAGTGCTTGTCTAAATCCTCCTGGAGTTCCCTAACGTCTACGTTTGAATCAGTTATCCTACCTATCTTCGTGTCATCGGCAGATTTGCTCATATCACTAGTAATACCCTCATCAAGGTCATTGATATATATTATAAACAACAATGGGCCTAAAACTGATCCCTGTGGTACGTCACTTGTTACAGATCCCCAATCGGATTTAACCCCATTTAAGCATACTCTCTGCTTCCTATTAGTGAGCCATGACTCGATCCATGACAGCACTTTTTCCCCAATGCCATGAGCTGCCACTTTCTTAAACAGGAAGGGTTGGAGGGAGGGTGTGAAGGTTTTAATTAGTAGGGACTTAAGCATCCAACAGATGTGTTTTAGGTATGCTAGATCATTGTTCAGGCAAATAATGTTTGCAATTTGACACACTGTTTGAGTGTGAGTGTGTTGGGAGTCAGGGAAACAGGGTACTGGGCCTTGAAATAATAATAATAGAAATAATCATAGAACATAAGAACATAAGAAAGAAGGAACACTGCAACAGGCCTACTGATCCATGCGGAGCAGGTCCATGTGCCCCTTCCCCCCCGGATTAGACCAATGACCCCCCCTGCGGATTAGCCCAGTGACCCACCCAGTCTGGTCACCTCCCCTCAAGGATGGAGCACTGCACCAGACCCAGCAGCACAAGCTAGTCAGGTCCAACTCACACCCATCCACACCCACTCATGCATTTATCTAACCTATTTTTAAAACTACACGTTTTAGCCTGAATAACTGTACTCGGGAGTTTGTTCCACTCATCCACAACTCTATTACCAAACCAGTGCTTTCCTATATCCTTCCTGAATCTGAATTTTTCCAACTTGAAACCATTGCTGCGAGTCCTGTCTTGGCTGGAAATTTTCAGCACGCTATTTACATCCCCTTTATTTATTCCTTTTTTCCATTTATACACCTCGATCATATCCCTCCTAATCTATGCCTTTCGAGAGAGTGCAGATTCAGGGCCCTCAGTCTATCCTCATAGGGAAGATTTCTGATACATGGGATCATCTTTGTCATCCTCTGTACATTTTCCAGAGCATTTATATCCATTCTGTAATACGGTGGCCAGAACTGAGCAGCATAATCCAAATGAGGCCTAACCAAGGATATATAGAGTTGAAGAACAACCTGAGGACTTCTATTATTTATACTTCTTGATATGAAGCCAAGAATTCTGTTAGCTTTATTGCGAACACTAATGCACTGTTGTCTTGGTTTTAGATTACTGCTAACCAGAACTCCTAAATCCTTTTTGCAATCAGTAGTATTAAGATCTACATTATTTAGTTTATATGTGGCATGGTTATTTAACTGCCCAACATTTAGAACTTTGCATTTGTCAATATTAAACTGCATCTGCCACTTCTCCGACCATTGCATCAATCTATTCAAATCATCCTGGAGTGCTCTAGTGTCCTCGTTAGAATGAATTGGACGGCCTATTTTGGTGTCATCAGCAAATCTGCTTATGTCGCTATTTATTCCCTCATCTATGTCATTTATGTAAATTGTGAACAACAACAACGGGCCCAACACTGACCCCTGAGGAACACCGCTTGTGACGTGCCCCAATTCTGATTTCTTTCCATTTATGCAAAATCTCTGCTGTCTATTTGTCAGGTAGTAGGTTGGTAGACAGCAGCCGACCAGGGAGGTACTACCGTCCTGCCAAGTGAGTGTAAAACGAAAGCCTGTAATTGTTTTACATGATGGTAGGATTGCTGGTGTCCTTTTTTGTTTCATAAATATGCAAGATTTCAGGTGCGTCTTGCTACTTCTACTTACACTTAGGTCACACTACACATACATGTACAATCGTATATATACATACCCCTCTGGGTTTTCTTCTATTTTCTTTCTAGTTCTTGTTCTTGTCTATTTCCTCTTATCTCCATGGGGAAGTGGAACATAATTCTTCCTCCGTAAGCCATGCGTGTCGTAAGAGGCGACTAAAATGCCGGGAGCAAAGGGCTAGTAACCCCTTCTCCTGTATGTATTACTAAATTTAAAAGGCGAAACTTTCGTTTTTCCTTTTGGGCCACCCCACCTCAGTGGGATACGGCTGGTACGTTGAAAGAAGAAGAAAAGAAATAATAATAATAAAAATAATAATAATAATAATAATAATAATAATAATAAATTATTTTCAAAAACTCATACTCGTGTTATAATTTGGTTGAAAGCCTATAGTATTCACAACAATTTGAACACTGTAGGAGGAGTGGTGATGTTGCAGTTCAGAGGGGCCATTTGAATTGTGATGTCTATGCACTTCTAACAAGACATTATGAATGAATGAATGATGATGAACTTTTCCTTTTTTTGTATGTAATTAAAGAATGTATTAAATCTCATACAATCTAATTTTTTTTTTTACCTTTCAGATAACACTAGATATAGTAAAGGCATTATATAGAAAGGATGGTTTTCGAGGATTTTATCGCGGTTACATTTCATCTATATGTGCTTATGTACCAAACTCTGCGCTCTGGTGGTCTTTCTACCACTTTTACCAAGGTAATTATTATTTACAATAATTGTGATATTGATTGAGCAAAATATAGGATTCATTTGCATGCTAATGTAAGGTTCAGTTGACTGCTAGAGTTAACTATTTTATATACAGTGAACCCTCAGTTATTGGCCATAATCCATTCCAGAAGCTTGGCCCAAAACCGAAATGGCCGAATACCAAAATAATATTTCCCATAAGAATTAATGTAATTACAATTAATCCATTCCAGACACCCAAAAATACATTTTTTGAAGATTAATTATGGTTTTACATACACAAAACAATGAGAACTAAATAAAATAAATAAATGAACATTTAAATCACTATTACATGCCTTTATTGAAGACTCTTGTTGGCTTATGGAAGACAGGGAGGAGGAGGAGGACTGATCATTGTTTGGAAGGGGAATCCCCCTCCTTATGGAGGGGGATTCCCCTTCCAAACAGGTATCAAAGCCCTCTCTGTAGTTATGTCCCTTCTTTGTTTTTTACTGCCACTAGGACCAGCTTGAGAGTCGCTGCACATCTGTCGCACAAAAAAACTGTCCAGAGAGGTCTGTTTCTGGCGTCTCTTGAAGATTTCCCTGAAGTGGGACAAGGTTTTGTCACTGAACATATTGCAGATATGGCTTGTTTCAGCTAGGTCAGGGTGATATTCTCCACAAAAGTTTGCACCTCATTCCACTTTGCACAAATGTCCTTAATCCTTGTATATGTGTACTTGTGGAAAAGATTATTATTATCACAGTATTAGTATTATTATATCAGACTTTTCAATTCTTTTGTATCAGCAAGTTCACTAGGCTGCGGTTTTTGTATTTTGTTAAAAAAACTATGTTATCCAACTAGGTAATTTAGGATTTAGTTAGGTCCATGCTTATTGATAGCTTTACCAAATTTATATATGGGATAACTTCACCAGTAGGAAGATATCAGAGACTTCTTATTTGGTAATGTCTGTGAGATCACAGGCATTCTTGGAAAAAATTAATCGATGAAAAGCAGGGGATATGATCGAGGTGTATAAATGGAAAACAGGAATAAATAAAGGGGATATAAATAGCGTGCTGAAAATTTCCAGCCAAGACAGGACTTGCAGCAATGGTTTCAAGTTGGAAAAATTCAGATTCAGGAAGGATATAGGAAAGCACTGGTTTGGTAATAGGTCGTGGATGAGTGGAACAAACTCCCGAGTACAGTTATTCAGGCTAAAACCTTGTGTAGTTTTAAAAATAGGTTAGATAAATGCATGAGTGGGTGTGGGTGGGTGTGAGTTGGACCTGACTAGCTTGTGCTGCTAGGTCTGGTGCTGTGCTCCATCCTTGAGTGGAGGTGACCAGACTGGGTGGGTCATTGGGCTAATCCGGGGGGGTGGGGCATTGGGCTAATCCGAGGTGGGGGGGTCATGGACCTGCTCCACATGGGTCAGTAGACCTGTTGCAGTGTTCCTTCTTTCTTATGTTCTTAATCACTGAAGAAGGCACCTTCTCCCCTCTCTCTTCCTCCTCCTCCTCCTCTGAAGCAATTTCCTCAGCTGTGGTCTGTTGCTGTTCAAGATGAAGGTCTTGCAGCTCCTCCTGTGGTCTTCCACCAACTCTTCCACATCCTCACCACTAACCTCTAACCCCATGGACTTTCTCAAAGACACAATACATTCCACAACAGGAGTAGGGTCCTCAGATTCAGCCCCAAACCCTTCAAAATTCTTGTCGAGGACACATTCTGGTCACAGTTTTCTCCAAGCAGAGTTCAAAGTCCTGGAAGTCACTCCCTGCCAAGCCTTACCTATAAGGCTTATGCAGTGGAGGATAATGAAGTGATTCCTCCAGAACTCTCTTATAGTCAAGTCAGCGTCCGAGGTCACTTCAAAGCACCTTTGAAACACTGATTTCGTGTAGAGTTTTTTGAAGTTAGAAATGACGTGCTGGTCCATGGGCTGGATGAGAGGAGTGGTGTTAGGATGCAAGAAGTTCATTGTTATAAAACTGAAGTCCCTAAACAATTGGTCTTCCAAGTCTGGAGGATGAGCAGAAGGATTGTCCAGTACTAGGAGGCACTTGAGTGGCAATTTATTTTCCAGGAGGTATTTTTTCACACTCAGGCCAAACACATCATGGACCCACTCTTTGAAAATTTGCCTCGTGACTTGTGCCTTATTATTAGCTTTCCACATCACACAATTTATTCTTGATATTGTTTTTCTTGAACACACTGGGATTTTCAGAGTGATACACTAGTAAAGGCTCCACTTTGAAATCCCCCACTAACATTACCACAGAACAAAAGAGTAAGCCTGTCTTTCATAGGCTTGTGTCCTGGCTGTGACTTTTCCTCCAGTGTGATGTTGGTCCTCTTTGGGATTTTCTTCTAAAAAAGGCCTGTTTCGTCACAATTGAACACTTGTTGGGGAAGGAATTCTTTAGCCTCTATGTACTCCTTGAATTCATGCACGAATTTTTCAGCTGCACATTTGTCAGAACTTGCAGCCTCACCATGCCTTACAACACTGTATATGCCACTATTCTTCTTAAATCTCTCAAACCAACCTTTGCTGACCCTGAATTCACTAACAGCAGCACTCGTTCCAGGCATTTTCTTTACAAGATCCTTATGCAACTGCCTTGCCTTTTCACAAATGATCAACTCTACAACACTATATCCCGCTAATTGTTTATCGGTGATCCACAAGAACAATAACTTCTCCATATCTTCCATTATTGGTGACCTTTATTTCGTTAGAACATTCACTCCTTTCACAATATTAGCTTCCTTGATTTCTACTTTCTTTGCCAGGATGGAAGTGATTGTTGATTTGGATTTCCCATACATCCTGGCAAGTTCCAGCACTCACACACCACTCTCATATTTTTCAGTAACTCCTTTCTTAAATTCCATCTTGTTTCTCACTTTCTTTACCAAAGGAACTTTACTAGGAACTTTCTTTGGGCCCATGGTTGCATATTTCGCAGTTGCACTCAATCAAAAACCACAAAAAACAATGATTATAGTGAAATGTTTGGATGAATAAGCATATGTTTCCTCTCTTGCCCAAAGACACAGCCACACCGACTCACAAACGTGCGAGCGGCTGGTGGGCGGTGGTTGGACACGTCCAGCATGGCTGATAAGCGAAATAACGGCCCATAACCGGAATAAAATTTTGGCCAAATAACCGGGCGATAGCCGAGTTGGCTGATATCGGGGACGGCTAATAACCGAGGGTTCACTGTATTATCTCCTGCAGTACTGACCCTATGATTTTGTCCTATTTATTTAAAAAAAAAAAAATTCTGGATGGGAATTTATTTTGTATCATTACTAATTTACTTGAAAATTTGAAAACTTATGTATGTTCATAAAATTAAGTTCCTTATTGAAATTGGGCACTGTAGGCTTCTGGTGGCTATTTTAAAAATAAATATTTAGTATATCAAAGTCTTTGTCTCTGCACTAAAAGTCTATAAGTAATGATCAGTAATTATTGGAGCTACACCAAACTTATTATTAATACAATTTTAAGTGCATGTTAAGGAAGTTATTGATTCATTTTTGTGCATAAAAGAATGGCCATGAGGCAACAGTTGGTGCTAAAAAAAAAAGTACTTTGCATAAGTGGGAAGAAATTAGTGGAGACCTGTGACCAGTGGTGTTGTATAGGGTCAGCATTGGTCTCATTATTGTTAATGATATAAATTACATAGATGAGGGAATAAATAGCAACATGAGTAAATTTGTCAGTGACACTAAAATAGGCCATCATGTAAATTTTCATGAGGATACTAGAGCACTACAGGAAGATCTGGATAGGTTGATGTCACAGAAATGGCTGATGCAGTTTGATGTAGACAGATGTCAGTTTTTTTTAGGAAAAGAAAAAATGGCACTTACAAACTAAATAATGTAGATCTCAATAAAACTGAATGTGAATATGATTTAGAAGTTATGATTAGCAGTAATTTAAAGCCAAGACAACTGTGTATAAGTATTTACAATTAAGATAATTCTTGGCTTCACATGAAGGAACATAAATTATCATCAGTTCTCAGGTTATACTTCTACTTTAAGTATCTTTGGTAAGGCCTTGTTTTGATTAGGCTGCTCAGTCCTGATCTCATATTACACAATGGACATAAATACACTGCAGAACAAACAGAGAGGTATGAAGAAGTTGATCCCAAGATAGACTGGAGGTGCAAAAGAGGCATAGAATTTGGGAGGATGTGGTTGAAGTGTAAAAATGAAACGCTGGAATAAACAAAAGGAATATAATGTGCAGAAAATATCCAACTGGGATTAGACTTGCAGCAGTGGCTTCAAGTTGGATAAATTTGTATTTAAAAACAATGCAAGAGTATTGGTAAGCAAGAGCTGTAGATGAATGGAAATAATTCCCAACTTAGGTTTTTGAAGCGATAACTGGGTAGCTTTGAATATAGGTTGTATAGGCACATGTGTGAGTTGGATGTACCCAGCATGGGCTAGTAGGCCTGCTGCAGTGCTCCTCCCTTTATTATGTTTTTAAAAAATTTTTTACTAATGCTACATATCAACTGAAGGTAGTAGGTTGGTAGACAGCAACCACCCAGAGAGGTACTACCGTCCTGCCAAGTGAGTGTAAAACGAAAACCTGTAATTGTTTTACATAATGGTAGGATTGCTGGTGTTTTTGTCTGTCTCATAAATATGCAAGATTACAGGTATGCCTTGCTACTTCTACTTACACTTAGGTCACACTACACATACATGTACACGTTTATTTATACACACTCATCTGAGTTTTCTTTGATTTTATCTTAATAGTTCTTGGTCTTATTACTTTTCCTTTTATATCCATGGGGAAGTGGAATAAGAATCTTTCCTCTGTAAGCCATGCATGTTGTAAAGGTCAACTAAAATGCCGGGAACAATGGGCTAGTAACCCCTTTTCCTGTAAAGATTACTAAAAAGAATAAGAAGAAAATCGTCAAAGTGGGAAGTCTGAATGTGCGTGGATGTTGTGCAAA